GATTGGTCCACGAATCGCTACACCTTGTGCATGCTTACAAAGTGAAAGTGTGTACAACAATGTTGTCTCGAGGGATTCTTTAAAACACTCTTTTACGCCGAAGGGGGAAAGAGGAAATATGGCCTTCTTTGTAATTGATAGTGGCGGTATAAGAAATGAGTGGGAACTCAACCGGCTTTTTGGTGATTGCTCGTGAACAAGGGTTTCCGGCTCTGACGATGTCCGTCACATGACGGACGAAAAATGGCCACGGAGTCATCGAGGTCGTAGGACGGTCTTCTTCGCACACGTCAACAGACAACAGTCCAGGACAACCCTCCTTCGGTATCTGGCGAGGCCATTTTATGAATCCATTCCACCAGCCTCCTCATACCAAATGGAAGGTACTAAGGGGCTTCTTTGAAGCTCAATTTGTAATTATCTACAAGCACGGATGTTACCCGTCCGTATAAAATAAGCATGTTATCTTCCAATTATAACTTTCTTTTATCCATTTTTCCGCCGCACAGGACTTTGTTGTTACGGCCAAAAAGAAAGACGGCCACGAGTATGAACCGGAGTCGTTGAAGGCGTTTGTCCATTCGCTGGAGAGACATCTTAAAGTGAGTCCTTGTTGTAAGTAGTCATTGTGAGTAGTCAATCAGGCAATAATCAAAAATCCAGGCTGAATGATTTTCGAAGAGTCCTTATTAAAATTCTGCACAGAACAGCGTGAAATCGTTGCGGGATTTTCATACCATTTCTGGGCTCGCCGACCTTTTTCCTGGTGGGCTCGTTTGTGTATGTGTGTGTGTGTGTGTGTGTGTGACAGAAATACTTCAGAGTGATGTCTGTCTCGTGCTGGACACGCCGAACGGTCAGACCTCATGCAGCCCATTCAGAGGCGCTCTGCATTGGTGATTCTGCGCTACGCCAGAAGAGGCAGCGGCGTCCAGCTGAGCGCCTCGGGATGCAAGTTTCTTGTGTCGAACGGAAGGATCGCCTCGAAACAGTTTCTCACTTCTGACAAAATGTACGCTTCTGGTTGACAGCCACATTTGGTTGTCTTGCCTTCAGGCAAATCCGAAGGTATGTATTCGAGAGTTTTGGCCAGTCTACAGAAAACATGACGGCTATGCCACGGCCTCTAGAGCCGAGTGTTGTTAGGCTATGGTAACTAAGCCGATTCAATAAGATTGAGATGTGCAATCTCTGTACTTCAACACATGCTTCTGGGTAAACAGAAAAGTGGCTATCAATTAAATAATAAACTTGGCTTTCCTCGTCTGCTGTAAGCCTTTCCTTTGTTGCACAATAAGAGCCGCTTATTGCATGTGATTTGCGGGCTTTCTTCAGCAGACACACACACACACACACACACACACACACACACACACGCACAAGCACATATGCATATATGCATAAATATGCATGCACAAAAGCATATTCGTAAGGGTAGAGATAATAATAGTCTTGAATCGGCTCAAGTGGAGAGCAAGTTAATGGTGCACGCTGCACTCTACCAAATGACCTTACTTTTCGCTTGGCAGCAGCTCCATTCCTTTCGGAACACTCGTTCTCCCACATTGTCTTCCAAATGCACACGCACACACAGACACACACAAACCTACAAATATATGCGTGTGTGAACACATGTGGATATGGCGAATTGTGTTGTTAATGTTAGTTGGAATAAGGGTGGGATAGAATGATGGCAATAACTGTACCAAACGTGTAATCGCTGACTGCTGAGGCCTCTTCTCTCGAGTGCCAGTCGAGCTGCCTTGCCTCTTCTGATAATCTTCTCTTCGTCTCGTCTCTTCTTCGAATATGCATACATGGGCCTACATAAAAACGCATACACACACACACACATGTCAACACTGACACACAGCACATAGGCATAGAGATAGTGAACTCGTCGAGGCGTCTGGAGTTTGCGTCCAAAGCCGCGATCGAGGCTGCAGAAGCGGAGAGAACCGATGCAAGATCTCAATTTCCCGCAATCCCCTTTGCCTCGGCCCCCCTCCCTGGGGCCGGGAAAGACGGCCCAAACACTC